CCATAAATTTTAGAAAGATCTTAACTCTGTTGAACAATTTTCTTCTTTTCTAAAATTGCAAAGAGCTAACTATAACCATCTTTGTCTAATGAAACAAAAAGGCTTTCAAAATAAAAATTCTTATTGATAAACTACTAATATTAAACAAACTCATTGTTCAATAATCAAACCTATATTCTAATTGGCTTTGTATTACTTGTAATACAACTAATAAAGATTTTAATCATTTGTGAACTTGTCTGATGAACTACACTATTATTACTGATCTCTAATTATTCTTATGTAACTTTATCAACTCATTATTGGTAAATTAGAAAAAAAACAAAGAGCGTCTTGCTTTCTTCAGATCCTTACAATCTAGTTGTTTTAACCTTCAATCAAACTTTAATTCCTTCAGTTTATTATTAAAAAGTTTATTCTTGCTGAACTCTTTCACTTATTACAATCATTATTTTTACTATCAAATACCTTCTCAATATTATGTTCAACTAAAATCATTTTATTCATCTCTTTTATAATAAATTATAGATTTTCTAGTATAACAATATAATTGACAAAGTAAGATCTCTCAGTATTATTACTAGACTTAAGAAATTAAAGAGAAAAAAAAGAAGAAGCATAAGTCTTGTTATTAAAATAATATATTTATTATCAAATCCCCACTTGATAAATTGGATTACTACTCAACAACTTGGATATTTAATTAACTTTAGTCTTAAAGTTCAGTAATTCTTGATTAGATTTTGTGAATAGATACTGATAACCTTATTTAAATTTCTTAGTGATAATTTGATCATTAAATATAAATTTTTTGGTTTATTAGAAGGGAATTCTAGTGATTAGTTAATTTAAATGGGTTTAAGCTATTTTTTTTTTAATAATAAAATTACATAAGATAGTAATAGTTTAGTTTTTTATTTTTATTTATTTTTAATTCTATAAATACTATATAAATTTTAATAACTTTGACAGTATTATATTGTAAAAAAAAAAACCATATGATTTTTTGAACTCTTTTCTAAAAATTTTTAACCACTTTTTACAAAAATATTAAAAACTTTTAAAAATTATTTTTTTTATTAAATAAACTAAATACAATAATAAATAAAACACTTTTATAAATTTTAATACTATGTTCTCTAATACTTTAAAATTTTATAATGATGTTTTCACTAAAGATAAAAAAGCTTTTTACAACTTATTGCTCATGTCACCTGAATGTGTCTTAACTTTAGTAAATTTGATTATTAGACTATTGAAAGTAATATGTTGAAATAAATAAAATTAAATTGAAAAATATGAGAGTTTAAAAATAGCGTTAGGTATAAGTAAGAATTATAAAAGAAATTTTATTCTATTATTGTTCGTTATTACAAAAGCTGAATCTATTGAGATATTAATATAGGTATTTTGTAAAATGACAAAAATACAAGCGATAATAGCAAGTAATTTAGACTGAAGAAAGAATTAGAAAGGAGAAGAATATATTAAATAAGAATGATAGTAAAAGAGAATCAGTTTGCAACTAAGATATTTCTATTCTGGCAGTTAAAAAACCAAGATCTTTAAGAGAGTCATCTGTAAAAAAAAAGAGGAAAAAAGCATTAGAAATTTGTGAAGTTAAAAGTTGAAATTAAAATGTAATATTACTAGATAATGGGAACCGTTGAAATGTCTGAAGCATTCAAATTAATTTGATTGGCTTGATAAAAAAAGTATATTACTAAATTAAAAAAGCAAAGTTACTTATCTTTATTAGATTAATTAATACATAATCTTATGTTCTATAATTGTGACACAATGATCATTCTGAAAAAGTTTGATAGATATTAAAAACCAATCGATATAAAAATTTTCACATATAAATGCAAAAAATTTATTGTCAATAAATTAGTGTTCCATTTTCTTGTTAATAATTAAATCTTTTTTTTGATATTACGAAATTAAATTTTATTTTTCATTAAGTCTTATTATCACCTAAACATATAAACTCATATACATATTTTTTTTTCATCATTAAAATCTTCATATATCATCCAAACACAAATGCAATCATCTGGACCCAACTTGAGGAATCATAGAGATTAAATGTCTCTCTTTGGCCTTCTCTCCTGCAGTCTCTTACAAGTTTTGATACGTTGAAGTCTTTCCAATAAAAAAAGATTAAAAATGATATTTTGGAGAGTACAACTCACGAAATACCATGAATGAAAGTTCAGCAGCATACTCATTTTTTTTAAGATCCATCACAGCCTTTTTTAATGTCAATTCCTGACTTTTGTGTACTATGATGACACACACAAGACAAACGAGAACTTGCAAACGTGTGCAAGTTCTTCTTTTCCCTCCTAGCTATGTCTAACTGAAAAATCAGAACAATCCTTTTACCTTCATTAATAATAGTAAGGCCAAAATAGTTGTCAAATTCTATCAGAATGGCAATAGAAAGTGAAGGAGATAACTGGTTTTCTTCAAATATAATTTCTTGAATAGTATCTACAGAACTATTTACCAAACCAGTTTCTGTTTATAAGTTAGTTCTAAGCATAACCCTTGCATTTCTTGCCAACAATAATTGACACTCAAGTCCTTTTACTTTATCTGAATCAGCCTTAAATGCTTCATTACTACCTGTATGAAAGGCTTTGATTCTAGCAACAGGGCAGTTTAACAATTTAAGTCTATCAATGTTAAATTCAGCAATATCAAACTTCCTAGGAAAAATGTATGTAGTATTCAAGAATTCTGTAGGTGATACAGTTGGTATATAATAAATTGTGTAGCGAGTATTTTTCAGTCATCTACTGTAGACTTACCATCACGCAACCACAATAATATAGTCTGAAATTACGCTGACCATCAGAATTTCCTAACTGATATTGAATAATATTGAGCTTATAGACTTTCCAGAACTGACTATATGCCATAATACTATTGTTTGATAATGGATTATGTTGAGAAATTTGTGAATACATAGGTTCATCTAGCACTGGTGGGAGCTACCTAAAATCACCAACCAGAATGACCGATTGGTTACCAAAGATTTGACTTTGGCATTCAAAGAAGGCTTAACATAGTTGCATGTTAATTAAGGCAAGTATACATCGTCTTATCATATTTTTTTCATCAATAACTAAATATTTTACACTGTTTAATTTTTTCTGTAATATTTTTAGATGTTCACCATTTAAGTCAAGATTATTTCTTGATATTAGAATGGATAATACTGAATAAATCGTTATGTCATGAATATTGAATGCTGTAACTCCGGTCAGTGCAAGCACAAGAATAGGTGATTATGTGATACTGTAATTACTTGAAATTTCTTTAAGATGATTTCAAATTAAGTTTATCAAATATAATTTTTCTGTTCCTGCAGCACACAGGATAATGTTTATTCGCTAGTTTGTCTATCTTAGAGTGAAAATCTTGCGGGAGCTTTCAGTCCGATTCTGAAAGATGACATTTATCAATATCTTGGACTCAAAATTCATTTTGCTGTCGATTCATATTCTCATCAATATTTCTTAAAACACAGTCTTCTTTTCTTTATGGTATTATTCACAGTCCTTTTTTAGTTATACTTCATGCTATTCTGCAGTTTTAGCGAATCTTTTCAAACGTTTACACTCTCTGTCACGTATATGACGATTTTAAAGTTGGTCAGAAGTATCCTTTGCTCTAGATTTTCATTTTCGCAATATTTCACGAAGTGGTTGGTCATTCATTTATATTTTGTGATTTTTAAAAGTAATCAATATCAACGAAGATGAATTAGCAGTTTGTATCAGAATAAATTAAATGTATTGTGGAAAAATACTTTAATATACAAAAAATACACGAGAAAATTCACAAGTTAAATTTCAACTTTTCAACTTTATTTTATTAGTTTCACAATTCGTTATAAAATCTATTGTTAAAGAATAGTTATCATTTTATTTTTTAATCTATCGCTATACTATCACTATTATTAAATAAATAATTTTATTATTAAAAAATTAATGCGTTAAAATAGCACACTTGATATTATTATACAGTATTTATAGTTACACATGTCAAATATGTCAAATAAAAATTGCGATATAACTGATCACAAAATTTAATTAGGCATAACACGTGACAGACAGAAAATAGACAGGTATGACACAGACTTAACAGTCCTACACTACATTTCAGACAATTATCAAAATTAAATAAACATTAAAAAATTCTGGTTGATAAAATAATAATGTTAAATAGTTGTTCGCTAAATTAAAGGAGTTTAAAGTAATTTCATATATCATCAAAGATAAGAGAAGATTGGTTACATTATTTGTTTTTATTCATAAGTCTGTATATAATGATATCTGACTTTTGACAAATGAAGTATCTCTAAATTTATTTTTTTTGCTAGTGTAATCCAGTCATTAATAAAACATCTATAGCATAGAACTAGTATTATATTATAATTATTATCAGTAGTTTGTATGAAATATTAAAAGTGTGATATTTCATTATTTATAAGAAGGACTTTTTAAACAATTGAATAATTGAGATCAGTGTATCAAATTGAAATGAATTTAAGACTAATTACTTTTGGGGATATATGTTAAATATATGATGGGTGAGTAAATTGTAAGTGATTATGAACTATTCTTGAAATAGGATTAGATAGAATTTTTCCTTTAAGTTTGTAAACCAATCCGGTTGAATATGTAATCTTCATTTGGGTAAAGTATAAATAACATCACTATAAGTAAACATATGAATTCCATTGGTTGACATCAATTTTGAAAGGAACATTAAATTTAATTTTTTGAGATAGGTTAAGATAAGATATTTATGAATGGTATTTTATTTCTCAAAATAAAGATCGCCAATTTCCAAATATAGTAACATAACTCGTTTCTACTAAAATAAAACGTTCAATTACTATTTTGTCATTCACGTGACATAATATAATAACCATAAAAAATTTCGATTGTCCAAATACCGTAAAAAAGAAATTTTTTTTGAATCAAATGAGCCGAAGTTCGTTTAAAAAAGGTGATATTACAGCCTTACATTTGATACTGATTGAAGCCACTTAAATGCTTTATTATTTACGCGTTTTTTTTTCCTAAACTCATTTAAAGAAAGAGACATTTTATTCACACAAGAAGATGCTTTTTGTTCAGAAAGAAAATTTACTAAACAAGTAAGCTTATATATATAAATATAGTTTATTGCACTCGACAATGTTTATCTCAATATGACAATTTTAAAGATAGGAATTCGTTGAATTACGACGTAAAGTGATTTCCTGTTACAAAGTTCCACCAAAGCGTGGTACCGAGTTATTAGAAATGGTTCAAACAGATGTGTTTTCAACGGGATGTTATGGGTAAGGGACATCATTTAATCAAATTCTGATGAGTTTTTGAACTTAATTAATATGATAGTAAATATTAACACTTTTTGTTGTAAGTATTGATAAGCTATTGCAGGGAGGATTTCATTCCGGAGAAATTATAGAAATCAGTGGAGAAACAGCTACAGGCAAAACACAGGTTTGAAATCATAACATAAAATTTCTTAGTAGTAAAATCAAAGAGCTTAAAAAAATTCCAATCGAACAAATTCTAGATTGCTTTCTCGACGACCCTTACAATATTGTGTACAAATAAAGATAACAAAGTCTTATTCATTGACACTGTTTCTACATTCTCGGCCGAACGAATCAGAACGTTATTTTTGGAAAGCGATCGATTTGTTCATGCAAGGAATCAAGGAATGGTATATATATCATCTGTCTTATTTTAAATTATCACTTGATAATAATATATTTATTAATCTGATAGAGTGAAGAAAACGTTATGAATAGGATTCAAGTTTTTAAATGTTTTGATGTTTATTCTATGATGGAATTTATAGATGATGTGAGAGATCATTTAGAAAACAAGGTTAGGATTCCAAAACGTTTAATTTTATCAATTTAGATGATTTTATTTATTCTTGTTTTTTTTTTTTTTTGATAAGGAGAAAAATGAATATACAAACATAAAGTTAATGATCATAGATTCTCTCACGGCGATATTTGCACCACTTTTAGGAGTCTCACAAACTCAAGGTTTTAAATATTCTTTTTAACCAAACTCAAAGTGGTGCCAGCGTTTTTTAATACACGTTTTTTAACTTCACTTTTTGAAATGAAATGAAGGACACTCATTAATGGTAACGTTAGCACGAATACTTCGTAATTTGGCGAAAGAGTATAATATAGCGGTTATGGTAAGTTCTTAACACACCTTGTATATTTCAGAAGATGAGAATTAAAACTTGTATTAAATTTAGGTCATAAACGCGGCCATCGTATCGAGACCAAATAATCCCATCTCTGTATTCTCTTCAACAAAATCAAAACCTAGTTTAGGTATATCTTGGACATTTATGCCTAATATTCAATTATATTTTACTCATTGTATAGACGGTATGATAGAAAATGAAAAAGTGATAATAGAAAACGAAAATGACAAGAACATACAGCAGGACTATATATACACGAATCGAAATGGAGTTGAAGTCTCATTGAAGCCAAGGATATGTGAAGTACTTAGATCGAGGAACGGGGTGTGTATTATTTTTGAATAAACAAATAGTAATGCGATAAAAATTGTTTGTAAAAATATATATATTTTTAAGTTATTACTTATTAGATATTATTATTTTTAAAAGCAAATGGGAAAATGGTGTATCTATTATATGGTAAACATATTTATCCATTTTTGTTATTTACATAATTTGTTATGTTATTAATTGATCATATTGTTTAGGGAGGAAATGAACTTTTAACAGATAATAATATATCATGAACAAGTATTTGGCGATTCTCCAATATTAATTAATACACAAGGTAAAATGTGAATGTAATAAATATTATGAAAGTAAAATTTTAATTTATAATAAATTCATTTCATTTCTAGTAAAAATCTTTTATTACCTTTTTTAGGAACAAAGTAGTAACATATATTTGGAATGACAATTATAAGCATAGAATTATGATGTCATAATAATTTGTTCATTCAATTTTGATTCCTAATTTAGATAACAAAGGTTTGAGTTTATAAAATTTTATTTTTCACTTTCAAAGTTGCGTTTTCCAACGTGCGTATTCTCTGAAAGGAGTCTACCATGCATGTTAACGGTATAAGGAAATAAGGAAAATAAAAAGAAACCAAAATATTCTTCTGTGGATCTGTTAATCCTTCATGTTTTGTAAATAACAATTCAATTAGGCAAACAAATGTTGTGGTTGTAACGTGACTCGAGTAAATCAACATTGGAAGTCGAATCGTATTACTATCTTTTTGAGGGGGGATTAAATTTTAAAAAAAATTAGATTATTTATTATTTATTATTATTAAATATTTGTTTTTTACCTTTCCAAAGTCCAATAGAAACATAAAAGAAAAATGGTAAGTGTAATATAAGTTCAATGAAGACGAAACCTTTAAACCAATTAGGTGTATTAATATAAAACGGGTCATTAAAATTTTCTGTGTACCATTGATTAATTGATTTGAGAAAATTAGGTGTTAATGATAAAGGAAAAGCGGGATACGTATCCAGAAGTATTGCCGGAAAAATGTGAGTAACGAAATAAATAAAGTAGACCAAATCTGAGACAATTCAAAAAACACTTAGTAAATCATTATAAAGAATAAAAATAATAAGTGAAAGTAAGTATATCACCTAGTGGGCGAGAAGTGATGAAAGACATTTTTATTAATACAATGATCTAACGTTTAATAGATTTTAATTTTATTTTATTTAATTTTTTTTTTTTTTTAAAAAAAGAAGGAAAAAAAAAAAACTTTTGTTTGGCGATAAAATATGCATAAAATATATGCAATATATGATTAAAGTTACTCGATTCCTGATAAATCCTTGTTTCCTTACATATATTAATAGCAAATCAGGGTGAAATTAGTGGTTTGATTATGATCATCACTCGGCTAAAAAGAACTGAAGTAAGTAACCAAGAACACACTGGTATCACAAAACGTCTTTAATAGATTAACTAGAGTGCAAGTTTATGTTTTTATTATTTGACACCCCTGGAGAGTTGAACACCCTTGTGTAAGGTTGTGTCAAAAACAAACCTTGTACGAATTTTTTTATTCATAATGAAGGCCACACAACATTCGTTTTTTTTCACACTCAAATTGAATTATCAAGATATAAGTCAAAAGAGGGCCTTGACTTCCCTTTATTTTATCCTTCTTACCCCCCTCGCTCAGCCACTCCTCTTGTCTCACTCGATATTGGTTAATTCTTTTTTCGTAGCGTGTCTACGACCTTTAATTGAGATATTTTTCTATATCTCAATTTCTTCTATATATAAGTTCGGCGGGCCGTAGTCTATATATTTTGACGTTCATAAAATTCAATATTTCTTGCAATAATTATTACTCGAGTTATCAAGTCTTTTTTATGAACTATTATTATACTAATTTAATAGAAACTATTTGTTTCATCTTGTAACTATTTAACTTGTATTATAACTTTCACCGTATTTAATAAAACATAAACGCCAAAAAAATGGGTTCCTGCTGTTGTAAGGAAGAAGAAATTGACTTCGATTCTGAAGGTGAATTAAATTAGACATGCCTCATTGAATTATTTAAACTTTATCATAACCATCATATTAATTTAACCCGAATCTTATCAATTAATACAGTTGAGTTATCTCATTTTCATTTACTAAGATCCGTAGGAAAAGGTGCTTTTGGAAAGGTAAGTTAGAACTCAATGAATTAGGATAAACCTTAGAAAAGACCTTCTTGTTGATTTTATCTAATTAATTCTTAGGTTCGTGTTGTTCAACACAAACACTCAAAAATTTTATACGCGCTTAAATACATTAATAAAGCAAAATGTATAAAAATGCGCGCTGTGGAAAATATTATACAAGAGCGTCGTCTGTTGGAAGAAATTGATTATCCGCTAGTGTGTAATTTACGATATGCATTCCAGGATGACGAGAATTTATTTATGGTTCTTGATTTGATGTTGGGAGGTGATTTAAGGTTCCATCTTGAAAGACAGGGGAATATGAAGGAGGAGGTTGTAAAATTTTATGTTGCCGAAGTCAGTTTGGGTTTACACTATTTACATTTAAGGAAAATTGTTCATAGGTATATGCAATTTTATAATACAAAAAAAAATTATTTCGCTTATGCATATTTTTTAACCCGAAAAAAATTTCATCTAATAACAGGGATTTAAAGCCTGATAATGTTCTTTTGGATGAGAAAGGTCATGCTCACTTAACTGATTTTAATATTGCAGTACATTTCAATGAAAGAAAACCCCTTATGTCTGTGGCCGGATCAATGGCTTATATGGGTATTTATGTTTTTTTAAAAAATAAATAAATAATATTTAAATTTACTTTATAAATTTTTTTATATTTAAAAAAAAAGAGAAAAGAATTTAACGATTTTTATTTTAATCACATTAATAAGCTCCAGAAGTACTGATAAAAAAAGGATATTTTGATTCTGTGGATTGGTGGTCATTAGGGGTTGTAATGTATGAATTACTTTTCAGTAAGGTAAAGCTAAACAAAAAAAATTTTTTTTTATAATGTACTAAGCTTTATAATAAAAACTTTCATATTTAACATATATTCTCTTTATTTTAGCGACCTTTTCGTGGAAAGACTAACCATCAATTAACGCAGGCAATTTTACAAGAACCTCTTACATTTCCAGAGAACGCTTTAGGTTCAGTTTCTGAAGAATGTCTAGATTGTATAAGAAGAGTATGGTTTTTTTTTTGCATATTATTATCCTTTCTTTTAAAAAGCATTATCTGATTCCGCCAATATTATATAGTTTTGTGAACGAGATATAAAAAAACGTCTAGGGTGTGGGCCCAATGGATTAGAAGATATTAAAAAACATCCTTGGTTTAAAGATATTGAATGGGGAAAGCTTGATACAAAAGAAGCTAATCCCCCGTTTGTTCCTGATGTAAGGATTAAAAATTTTTTTCTGCATATAATAAATTGTATTTAAAACAATTTAGGTTATATTTAATAATTTCGATACTTTATTTTAAGTCTAAGCGGGCAAACTTTGATGCTACACATGAACTTGAGGAACTTTTACTGGAGGATAATCCACTTAAAGCTAAAAAGCGAGCAAACCCTAATCAAGATCTTAGTGAATTATCTAAAGAAATGCGAATGATGGAAGAAAAATTTCTCGTGTATGATTTTTCCAAAATGCGCAGGAGGAGTTATAATAACCATAATCTTAATAATGGTATGCAAGAAAAAAGATCTAGTCTGATTATAAGAAGAAAAAGTGGCAGTAGAAGCAGCGGAAGCTCTACAGCGGTTGAACGATTAAATACTGATTCATCAAGTCCTACAATTATGAATTTTAATATAGATACTAATGCATCCCTTTTGCCAATTCATTCACCACCTTCAGCAAAATTACACGGGCATCAAGGATCAGATTTAAGTGGTTATGTTGATGAACAGAAAGAAAAAAATAGAGGGGACTGGTTAAATGAAAGGCCGGCATCACCTCAAAATCGCGATAGTAGACGAACGTCTGGATTGGGATTAGGGACAATGCCATCCAGTGGAAAAACAAGTCTAATAATATCAAATGAATCGGACGTTTCAACTAAACCTTACCCGGCGGGTAGAGTTTCACCCTCAACATCTATAACAATAGATATTAATAAACAAAATCTTTCAGATTTTTCCTCAGCTACACCGTCAAATATATCCTCTTTATCGCCGCCGCCACGTGTTCAGCCTCCTGTACAAAAGAAACACAATTCCACATCCCCATCCTCATCACGACCAAGTTCTCCAAATTTACAACCTTCACATCCTGTTCGATCCCCTTCACCACAATTAATATCGTCTAATACGAGTTCTTTAATCGTCTCACCTTCGGAACCCATTTCAAATCAGCCTCAACCTCCAAACGTTCCATTTTCTCAACCACCAAGTACATTTTCGACAATAAAGTCATCCTCAACGTTAATGAATCCTATTAATCCTAGTTCATCATTGATAAGTACCGATTCTAATAATCAATCGGCTTCTTCTATTAGGGTTCGTTCATTGTCTCCCCCCTCAACTAATAAAAGACCCACGATACCAATGGAACCATCACCAACTGGTAACAAACGTATGTGGAGTCCTAGTGAATTAGGTGAAGACAATCACACTGCCTCGACGAGCAGAACTTCTGCGGGCAGTGGCTTTTCGTCGGAAATCAGTAATGATGGTGGTATTGGTGGTGGACTAAGTGTTAGAGGACACTTTCGAAATGCCAGTGATGTTAGTACTGGTTCTGGTGCATTAAGCGCAGTAGGTGTGCCACCATCATAATATTCAAAAGAAAAGAAAAAAAGAAATAGTAATATGTATTAGAAAGTGAAACAAAGGTGGCTTTGTAATATTGTGGAAAAAAAAACTTTTTATTCAAGTTTCTTTATGTAATATTATACATATATATTCTTTTATATTTTCAGGTCACTTTAAAATTTTTGATTTTCGAAGACTTTAATATAAAAAACCTAATACTACCTTTATTATTCTATTATTTAAATTGTTATTT